GCTGACCCTCCGAACGGACCTTGAGAACCGCTTGCCACTCTCTGTGGTAACACCGACAAAAAGTTGACAAGGATGGTTTCTCAAGGTGCGGGTTGAAACTGCTTGAAAAATCAAGCATGTCTGTCAAGGTTGTGTTGGGGCCCAACCACTTGACAGGCCTGCCCTTTTGAGCAGCCAACAAGCCACTGACACTGGTGGGGCCATCTGCCAAAGACTTCTTGCTAGAAACAAAATCATCGGATTCAGGCAAATGCTCGGCAACATTCTCATGGACCCACTGGAGGAGTACTTGAGCTGCAGCGACAGCATCAGAACGCTCCAGAGGCTGCTTCTGACTCTTGCGTAGATCCTGGGGAGCGTCCACGAACCCTTGTGCCAAATGCTTGGTGAGCTTTTTAAACATGGCCACGGGCATCTTCAAGACTTCACACACAGCATCGCGGCAACAAGGAATCCCCCACACAGTGAACCGCCGCCAGCCAGAAGAACTGGACTGCCACATGCGTAAGCAATCATACTGGGCCTTCTGAATGGCATCCCGGGATTCCAAACCATTCAAAGCAGATTGCACTTCAGCTATCCTTGTAGACAACTGCGGGTTTTCTCGCATGGCTTCCACACAACCCATCTTGCAACAAACGCCAGGCAAAGCCACCACGATGTCATCATCGCTGCCTGAGTTGATCGAGGCAGGAAGTGAAACCGGGCTTTCCGGCTCAGAGGGCCATGAAACAGCATCGGCCATGGCTTCAGCTATTAGAAGCAAATGGCTTTAAAAACTGCTAAAGAAATATCTCTGCAGGTGTTTCGTTCAAATCATTCTTTCTGGTTGAAGCGGGACTGATGATCATTGGTAGTACTTGATCTCTCTGGCCTTTGCTGGAGCCAAAAATGTCTCGGCTGTAGCTTTCAACCTGTTACAAGTTGTGATCCTGGCATCACAACCCCAAAACTGTAAAACACAGCGTGGGTCTTTGACAAACACTGTTTCTCAAAAAACCTGTTGGAGGAGGCCTGGTCTGACTCGTGACTTATCTCAAACCCCATATTATCCCATATCCCATCATATCCCATAAAATCTATATGTCATCTCTGTAGCATTGCCCTGGGTTTACTCTTTGGTACGCACTCTCTGTCTTGAAAGGGTCATCCTTTTTTGCGCACCACACCCGGCTCGATCACAAGTCATGATGCCAACTCGCGCAGTGAGGTCTGTTCAAAAAAACTTACGCTGTCTATGTTTTCAATGATTGTGGAGGACCTCACTTGCACAAGTAAAGGCTCACACAAACGTCTGTGAGGCCTGCCACTCACTTTCCCGGCTGAGTTGGTTCATCCTTGATCTGGCTCACGTACGCGACATGATTCGGCCAATGTGCATCAAAGCACGGCCAAAATCAGTCCGAGATGAGCCTCCAATGCCAAGACCGCCCCCAGGCCCATCACCAGGACCGTCACCACGGTCATCCTTCTTGGGACCTCTGGGAGGGTCAGGGTCAGGTGAGGTGTCATCATCCTCTTCCTCCTCCTCTTCTTCATTTTTCCTCTTCTGGTGAGGTGTCTTCTCTCTCTGCTTTGGGTCGTGGCCGCGGGGCTTACCACGCGGCTCAGGAGGTGGCATTGAACGAGAAGCCCTCACCGCATCCGCTGCCTTCAGCTGCAGTCCTTCGTTCTCGTGGCCATGGTGGGATGATGCTGCGCTGGCATTGGCTCGTTCTTCAGGAAGCTTTTGATAACGCCCCAGGACACGCCAGGGCTTTCCGCCAGTACCCTTGCATGACCAGGCGTGCTGCTGGACTGCCCATTGTTGGGCGCTGATCTTCTTGTAACAAACCTGGCACTTCACTGTGCCCGGGCCTCGCCCTTGAGCATGGAGGCACCGCGCAGAATCACGCTGGTGCTGAGCCAGTTGGTGAGGACTTCGCACCCACTGCCAGCAAATTGGGCAATGCAAGCCTTCAGATTTGGCCTTCTCATGCCTGCGGCCTGTTCCAGGGCTCTCACGCTCCCGGCCTGTTCCAGGACTCGTACGCTCGCGGCCTGGTTCAGGGCTCGTGCGGCCTGGTCCAGGGCTCGCAGGACGTGCTGGGCTTCGCCCGCGAGCCGACCGTGATCTCGAACCACGGCGATGCCGGTGTCGTCCGCGATCATCTTTCCGTGGCCCTTTCTTCTCTTTATGTTCTTTCTTGGTCTTGGTGGTCTTCTTTTTGTCTTTTCCATCTTTGTCATTCTTGCTCACCACTTCTCTTTCCGGTTCTGGGGCTTCTGATTCTGGGGCTTCTGGTTCTGGGGCTTCTGGCGGGGCGGCTTCCTCCTCGGAAACATCCTCAGAAACAGAGTCGGGGCTGCTTTCATCGAGCCCTTCACCACGAGCTTCTGGCATCGTAGGTCCTGCAAACCAGGGGGCGACGAAACTACCGTTACAGTATAGGATTGGAAACGAGTAAGTACTAGTCAGGTAAACTACTATAATGTAGTATATGGTGCCGTTGCAGGTTGCAAACGCTGCACCTTTGCAAGTGTGATTCAAAGCAGCATCCTACTCCCTAAGAGTAAGGATGTCTGCGCAAGATGTACGCCCAGCCATGGGTAGTAGCATCTTTAAAGGCGTGCGCCCAAAGGTGGCACGACCTCCTTTACTGCGCCCGAAGGTAGCAGTCTTACTGCGCCCGAAGGTAGCAGTCTTACTGCGCCCGGAGGTAGCAGTCAGTCTTACTGCGCCCGAAGGTAGCAGTTGCGCAACATTGCTGACGAAATCAAACTACTAGTAATAATAGTAGGAAAACTAAGTGAACCCATTCCCTGAACGGTCCTGCTTCAACCCGGCGTGTGATGGCCAAGGTGAGGGTCATTACCGCTGGTTGAGCCACAGGCCGAAACATTGGAAAAACCATCTGAAAAATGCTCAGAGACAAACACCTGGCTGAACGCAAAAAAATGACATACCACATTCGCTGATTAGATGGTTTCACGACCTGTTCGCATCCAGATTCCGTCTGTGTATACATGCTGGTGGATTCTGGAGAACGAATACGACAGAAAACAAAACAAAACAATACATTCATTGAGGTCCGGGGAAAGTGATCCGACGCGCGTAATGATGTTTGTGGTTGGAATACACCATGTGTAGTCATGAGCACATGTTCGGTATTGACCAGCTACTGTAGTTACATACACACAAGGTGTCTATAGCACCGGCCCGAAACTTAGAATGCGTAAAAATCGGTACTTCGCAATATGAGATAAACTTGGAATGGGTGGTTTTCAGTGCGCATTCTAAGTTTCATGGTTAATTTAAACAAGTGAATGCCCCAGGGCCCCGTGCTACCAGAGCCGGACACCAAACTCTGGTATGTAGTCCCTCCGCCCTCTTTTGTTCATGAACCGCAGGCCGGAATCCAG